CCGCGCCCCGCCAGCCGCTGCTGCCGCTGCGCCTCTTTAGAGACCGACCGGCCCTGGAGAATGTGGAGAAGAGGGGCCGTCCCGGGAACCTCATGGCTCCAGCCCTGCAGGTCCAGCCAGGGCCGGGCTCAGCAGCTCGGGGGATGTGGCATGTTGCAAGTAAAGCAGAGAGATAAATTCCTCCCGTGCCACAAATGAGAAGTTTTCTCTCTGAAATCAAAGGATCCTCCGCTGATTCAGCCCAGGTTTGACTTCGGTTCGTAACTCCCGATACCATTATCTCTGCCTTTGTTCTTTCGAGCTGAAGCAATTAATGGATTACAGCAGGACAAAACCACAGCCAGACCATGCTGCTTTTGTTCTGCAGCTATTTACTGTTAGTACCAGCTTTGCTTCCCTCGAGCTACTGTCCTTGGGAACCCAGCCCTGAGTTCTGCTGGGGAGCTGGACAGTGTGGAGACCACCCTGGATGTCGTGGTCGTGGTCCCCATGGCACGGTGGGCATGTGCCAACATCTGCGTCCGTGTCGGTCCCCACATATGCCTGGGTTGATCACGTCTACCATACATTCCTGCCGTGGGCACAGAAGGGCCAAGATAGGATGAGCATCATGAAGTGTCACACTCAGGAGAGAAACGTATCTGTTTATTTGGTACCCGGAACCGCCCATGCTCCAGGCAAGGGATATAATTTTTCTTCTGCATTCAGGTTTGCTTCTGATCCTTAGTGATTAACACACAGGTTTGGGGTGATTTGCTTTGGAAATACTGGAGCTACAGCCAAGGTTTATGAATTGTAATTAGGTTTCTAAAAGGATCCTTCTCCTCACTGGATCTTTCATGTTCCAAAATACCCCTGCAAACAAAACATTGTCCCTCTATTTCTGTGACATGGAGTGCTACTGAACATGGATCTTCCCATCCTAAGGATTAAGAAGATGGAAAGCCATTAATGTTTCTTAAGAGCTTGCAGAATTGGGTTTTGTGTGGAGCCATTACTAAGAGTTTCAAGAGGCAGCATCCATGTTCTCACAGTCAGCAAAAAACTCCAGACCTGGAAATGAATGTAGCCATTCCCCTTATTCATTGAATTTTTTCAGTCATTTTACTCATATTTACCAAGATTATGCTGGACATATGTCAGCAGGAGGCATGAATCACATTGTCATTCTTCTTGCAGCACTGTGTGTCTCCTGTACTCAAGGTTCTCTGGCCCTAATCAGGCCAGGTGTGATGGAAGACATCAAACAGGCACCAATCGGACCTCAAGCCATTCCAAGGAGTGGCCAATGTCCATGTCCTCATTCTTTTCTTTAGTTCAGAGACAGGAGAGACTGAAACACTGAAATGTCAGGGGAAACCATTCCTCTATTTTTTTGTTAATTCTCCAAAAGACTGTTTGGCCTTTTTCTCTAAGATCACCTTGTTTTCAGTCTGTACTTCATCTGCAGAGAGCACTTTCTCCCTCAGTTACACCATCATTTGCCTGTTTATTGTTGGCAATCCTTTAGAGAACTCAGATATATGGTCTCCTCTTGAGCAAGGCGGTTGTGGAGAGAGAAATGAGAGAGTGAGATGATAGGAAAATGCAGGTAAAGGTTCCTGTAGCCATGCATGTGAAGCTACAGTTCAGGCTTTGACAGGAAAGCTCTGATGTGGCTCAAGAACAGAGGATACAGCAGCATTTAGTTACATTGTGATCCTCAGACTGCTGGGTTTTTTTAGTCAGATATTTTGCTTCTTAATCTAAATTATCTTTTGAGAGAGTCTAATGTGGAAACTGGGCCAGATTCTGCTTTGTGTAAACCTGGTGTAACTCTAACTTCAAGGGAAATATTCCAGATTGAATCTGGTATAATTAAGATTAAAAATTGGCTCTGGAAGTCTTTTCTTTGGCAATAAAGTTAGAGAAGTTCTGCAAAGAAAAATAATTAAAACCAGGACTTTATTTCAGTGCTCTTTTAAATAACATATGCTATAGACGCTTTGAAGGCATTTGTTCTCTATGACAGCAGTATTTTAAAACTTTCACTTAGATTCCACTAACCAAGTTAACCCTTGACAACCAACTGTGCTTAAAACGTTATGAACAGAAACTTCTAATTTTGCAGGACATTGTCTAAACAAACACAAAATTCTATTAAAAGGATACGATTGCTGCTGTGGCAGTTGCAAGCTTCTGCCTGCTGGTAAAGTCATGAATTTCACTGCTCTAGCCACAGCACAAGCACTGAAATAATTCTTAATTTATACCTTAGTCAGCATGGGTTTTATTCATGGTGCAAATCTTGTTATCTGACTGCTAAACTCAACACACTGAGAAGGAGCAATTGTCAAGTTCCTTAGTATCCCTGGAAAGCAAACTCTGCAAAGAGTTCCTAGAGGAGCACTGAAATACTGTAAATTACTACACGATTTTCTATAAGGAAACGAGATGTCATTTAACAGTTTCTGTGTCCACTATCAATGTATTTGTTAGGCCCATGTCCATCATAGAAAACATGTCACCATAATTTTATTTCAATTGGGTGAGAAGATGCTGATCAGTTTTTGCTAGGCCTGGCTTTCAGCCCCAGTGAAATCACAAGGACATTTGTCATTCCCTTGGCTGGCCCAGATTTCCATCATGGATTAATCAGATCTCTCTTTAGGATGCATAGGAAAAGAAGGGTTGAAGGGGATTCCTTGATTCCTTGTGGTGTATGAAGCATGTGTATTTGGAAAATACATTTTCCTCTTTTTAAGTGTGGCTGGCATGTAGGAGGAGTCAAATCTATTTTGTTATGTCAAAAGTGCATGAGTATCAAACCTTGTCAGCCTTCTTTTTTTTTTGCTAGAGGACTCCTTGGTGAATCAGTGAACAAAGACACCATGGCAAAGCTGACTCTTTCACAGAGCAATCTTTTAACCTCTCTGTTATGTAGGTTTGTAGAATTAGGAATCACCAAGACACATCACACCCCAACCTTGTGTGGTAATGAGCTTATCCACCATCCCTCCTCTGTCCTGCATGAGTGCCTTGGGAGGTTGCAGGAAGCAAACATGGGAAAAGAACCCAGACTGCAGCTTTGAAAGAATATGTAGTGCAAGAGCCAGGAAGATGGAGCCCATTCTGATTTTACACATTTGAGATTTCTTTCAGAGAAAAGGAATTGCAGGGTAATCCCTCACCAACCTGGCCCCTATTACAATCCATGTTTTGCTTCCTTTGTCCCTCATTAACAGGCTAAATGCTGAAGGAATAGCAGTAAGGGTACAAAAAGATGCCCAATTCATAACAGTCCTCTTTGTCCATCAGTCATGGACACTGCAAAGGAGGAATAGGCACAGGTCACTCCATCTCTGTTTTTTATTTCATAGCCAAAGGAAATACAACCGTGCTCTCCTTATTGTCAAGAGAATACAGAATATTCCTTCTTTGCAATGGGATAAAACATTTGTAAAGCCAACATAAATCCAAATAAATTCTTGCAATTCCTATCCATCATTTCCACTACCAATCTTATATTCTTATTTTCTTAGGTTTTTTTTTTCTCTCCCAATGCATTATATACAATTGTCGTAAAAAGGTATTCTTGAAATCCATGCCTCTGTGCAACTTTGTTGGGAATCCCTTGCTAAGCAAGCTGCAAGCAGAGTGTCTGGTAGTCTGAATGAATCTATGAAGCCTGCCCCGATTATCCTTTTCCAAAACATTGTAGGATTTAGTCAACTTGACAAGATGAAGGGTTGAGGAAATGCTTGACTCCAGAAACATTGCCAGCTGTACTGCTGGGGGCTGATCAAAACAGTGCTCAAAAGTATAACCGTAGCCCCTGCCATTAGCAGGGATGTTGAAGGTAC